ACACACACAATGACACACACAATGACACACACAATGACACACACAATGACACACACAATGACACACACAATCTTGGTGATCAATATAATCTGTGTAATCAACACACCAGTATCTAGCAGACACCATTAACATACAGTCAAAATTAAGCCTGTGACCGCCTGCAGTTGGGAACTCAGAAGAAGAGAATGGTTTGTTTTCTTCATTTTGATCAGTCCTGAAGACCTGGACCAAAATCACCATGAAAAAACAAATTCTACTGTAGAGACATGTTCACTTTTGCTTCAGTCCTAAGCTTGACGAAGGTAAGCCTTGTTGGTATTTTACACTTTCTCAAAACAACAAGAAATAGCATAAGTAATAGTGTTAGAATCATAACGATATGAATGATAACTCACAATATTGGGAGGGCTTCTTTCATCTGTGGGTGTGTGCAGAGAGACGGTGATCTCCCTTGTGTCGGCCGGAACAACAGTCTGAGCCGTGGCAAGTCGCACGCGGTCACACAGGACCGTCAGACTCTCACTCACTGGGGAGAGGGGGAGGAGGGAGAGGGGGGTATGAGGTACATGACATCTCAGGCTGTGTGTGTGTGTGGGGGAGTGGGTGTGGGTGCATGTTTCTGTGGGTGCGGGATGGTTTCGTTGCTACACTGCACGACAACGTACATTTGTACATCATTGAGGGGGGCGGCCTTCGACCCCACCTGTCGCGGACAACACAGGTAGATACTGTTAGTTCTCGTAACAGTTTTAGTTTTAGTTTTCGTAACAGTTTTAGTTTTCGTAACAGTTTTAGTTTTAGTTCTCGTAAGAGTTTTTTTTAAGGAGTTTTAGTTCTCGTTAGAGTTTTAGTTTTAGTTGTAGTAAGAGTTTTACGGCACTTGCAACACAATAACGTCATGTAAATGCCAAAGATTAGAGGTGTTACAAGAGAGTAACAAACACAAAAAAGGAGGAGGAGAGACAAGGACGATAGATGTTTGAGAGGAAAGAATGAGCAAACCACATCCGAGCACTCGCCAACTACAAACTGTCGTTTCGAGATATTTTTTAACAAAGTATTATTTGTTCTTTTAAATTTACTTTTGTTTTGTATTTTAAGGAAAATGAGAGCGCTA